ATTAATAATTATTTGAGCAGATTGTTTTTGATAAATCGCTTTTATAGCTGTCTTAAATTGATTTCCAAAATTCATATAGTCCAATATTTTATTTAAAAACTGCCAGTCCAATTTGTCGAAGGCCTTCTCCGCATCTAGGAAAATAAAGGCCGATGGCACTTGATTGTTCTTATCCAAATATTCCAATAAGTTCACAATTAGGAGGCTGGCATCTTATGCCACCTTTTCTCAAGTCTTTCTCAAGAAAGTTCTGCTTCTCTTTTATCCCTCTCTGCTATCCTTCATCTCACACAGGACCCAAAGGGTGAAATCCAGAAGATAATGCAGTTTATAGGGAAGCAATTAGACGTGGCCACTGTAGACAAGATTGTGCATCACACCTCGTTCGAAGTCATGAAGCACAACCCCATGGTTAACCGAGCTAATGCACCACTGTCTGTCATGGACCAGTCCATTTCTCCATTCATGCGAAAAGGTATGCGTTCTCCCACTAGAACGGAACTGTCTTTAAGTATCCTGCATTGCAAGAAACGTAGAGGAATCCTGGAGAAATTCAGGTTTTCTGTTTTTCTGGAACATGTGTGTAAGGAACGGGAGTATTCCTCCATGATGATTTATCGCAGTGGTTCTCAACCTTGTTAATGCCGCGACCCCAACCGGTCGTAAGTCGAGGACTAAATCGGTCGTAAGTCGAGGACTGAACCGGTCGTAAGTCGAGGACTACCCAACCGGTCGTAAGTCGAGGACTTTCCCTGCCCGGGAGCACTGCGCATGCACGGTTCCGCCCCCTGTGCCGGCCGAGGCGTAGCTTGGCAAGCGGCAGAGACGGAGCAGGCCGACCACCAGCTGGCCCAGCCCAAGGGAGGTAAGGCACCCGCCGGAAAAGGGGGAAAAATGGCGGACAAAAAAAATGGCGGACAGCCTTGCTTGGCGACCCCCGTGAAATGGTCGATCGACCCCAAATGGGGTCCCGACCCACAGGTTGAGAACCACTGATTTATCGGGACCAGACATTATAAGTTATTAAACAGGCCTAGGCCATGACCCCAGGAAGCTGCAACCATTGTAAATACATGCCAGATGCCAATTAACTGAATTTTGACCACATGAATGGGGGGATGCTGCATCGGTTGTAAGTTGCAAGGATGGGTTATAAGTCACATGCTGTTGTAATTTTGAATGGTTACTAAGGGAATGGTTATATATTGAGGACTATGTACTGTATAATGTTCTTTGAAAGGCTGAATTTGTAAAGGCTTCCCACTAGGACATTCTTATTACAGTTATCTCTTGTTGATAATTCCAGTACAGTAAGTTCAGCTGCCAAAAAAGCCAACACAGTGCTGGGCTGCATTAACAGAGGGATAGAATCAAGATCACGTGAAGTGTTAATACCACTTTACAATGCCTTGGTAAGGCCACACTTGGAATACTGCATCCAGTTTTGGTCACCACGATGTAAAAAAGATGCTGAGACTCTAGAAAGAGTACAGAGAAGAGCAACAAAGATGATCAGGGGACTGGAGGTTAAAACATATAAGGAACGGTTGCTGGAATTGGGTATGTCTAGTTTAATGAAGAGAAGGACGAGGGGGGGACATGATAGCAGTGTTCCAATATCTCAGGGGCTGCCACAAAGAAGAGGGAGTCAGGCTATTCTCCAAAGCGCCTGAAGGCAGGACAAGAAGCAACGGGTGGAAACTGATCAAGGAGAGAAGCAACCTAGAACTAAGGAGAAACTTCCTGACAGTTAGAACAATTAACCAATGGAACAATCTGCCTCCAGAAGCGGTGAATGCTCCAACACTGGAAGTT